GCCCAACCTTCCTTCCGAGGAGTGGCTGGTGGGTTTGAACCGCCAGCCTTCTGGTTAGCAGTCAAGTGCCTTAGGCACTATGCTACCAGAGGTGGACTACTGGTATCTTAAGTGGATCACACTTACCGCATAAGTGCTATTACTGACCATGGCATAGTATTATCAAGACTAACTCCCGGGCTGTTTCTAGATTTGAGTGTCCTCTTTCTTTTAGTTAAAGTGGTGTTAGAGAATTTCAATCCATTTTGATTTCTTTAAAGGGGGAAGAAAAAGTCTGGAATTTGTTTTGAAAAAAGTAAATAATTGTGTGGAGAAATACAACCCAGGTTTTAAATGTCTCCTGTCCAGTGTACTAGTCACAAGTAACATGTGATTACCTAAATGAAAGTTAGTAAAAGTCAAACACAATTAAGATTTAATTCCATGGAGAGAACAGAAAAGAAAAAGAAAATAAGAGAGAAAGAAACAACATTTGAAAGACAAATAATCATTCTTTGTCTTTATGTTCAATGAACTGTCAACATAGAAAGTTCAAGAGAATCTACAGAAGATGCATTGGAAATAAAAGAACATATCTGTCTCTGAGAAAAATGCTATTTTAAAATTAAAGTATTATTCATGACTAAAAAAATGAAATGTACTATTTTGCACTCCTATGAGCAAGGGACTCAACTACTCATTTCTTCACATTCCCTGTAACACCTATTTTCCATTTCAATTCTCATAATTCTAGAGCATAGCCAAACACGCACATTATAAAGAATACAGAAGCATAAATTTGGAAAGAATTTATCCAATGGTCCGGATTGCCAGTCACGGTAATTAAGTTGTGTGTCAACTCGGCTGGACCTGGTATTGACCTCTGGGCAGGTGGATGTAGTTAATCCCTCTGATGAGACTCCATGGCAGAATGTACTGGAGCAGCAGAGTAGAGCAGAGTAGAGCTCCCTTAGGGATGTGATCTGTTTCCAATATGTAAGAAGCAGGTTTGATGGAGGTCTGAGCTTTTTGGCACATTTGGTATGGTGCTAATATTTGTGTACCAACTTGCTGGGCATGGTTGAGTGGCTGGGCAGCTGGTGGTACTTATTTCCCATGACGACACCACCAATCACCTCCATGGTGGTATGCACCACAAGCAGCTGAGTAGCTGCCTTTGGCATGTGGTCTGCTTCCTGTATATAAGATGCGGCCTTGGAAATGGTCTCTAGCCTATGGCACGCTTGGACCCTGCATGTAGCCACATCGTTGCTCAGCAGCCTGCTATGCTCTGCTGACCCTGAGACTTAAGTTAATGGCCTGCCATGTGGTTTGGTAACATCAGGACTGTGCCTTTTGACTTGTCAAGCTTGGGGCTTCTCAGCCCCAGTAGCCAGCAGCTGTCTCAATGAAGAAATGCCTCTAGCTCCAGTGGGTTTGGAACAGGAGGCAGAGCTGGAAAACAAGGTTGAGAGGATTTCAACCAGCCCCTAGAGCCTGGCACTTTAAACTTGGACTTAAGCCTCCAAATTGTAATTGTGGCTAGCCCATGGAGCAAGAAAGGCAAGTGCTTTTTGGGCAGGCTTTTCCAGAGGAGGATTTTACAAGCAGAGGACCAAGGAAATGAAAGCAGAGCTGCTTCAGCCTGAAAGGATAGGACCATGGCCTTTGGGGAACCACCACAGCACCCTAGGTTTCAAACAACCAGCCCTTCACCAACTTGGTTCTGGAGTGTAGGGCTGCGCCTTCATGTGAGCCAGTGGGATAAAGCCATACTTGCTGCCCATGAGTGAGGGGATGGTCTGCCATATCCAAGAGGGAGAGAACCAGGCCTGCCAGGCCAATGGGCTGAGGTCGCTATTCAGGACTAGGAGACTAGAGCCACCCAGCGGAGAAGGCCTGTAAAGATAGCACACATTGAGGATCTGCACAGGTGCCAAATTGACAAGGGGTGGATTTGTGGTGGTTATGTTTGTGTGTCAACTTGTAGGCCTCCTTGAGTGGTTGGAGAGCTTGTGGTAGTTATTCCCCATTTTGAGACTGGGAATAAACTCCATGGTGGGATCTACCCACACTATGTAGCTGCCATTGAGATGGGGTCAACTTCCTGTGAATAAAGAGAATCCTTGGGAATGGTCTCTGGCCAATTGTACATTGGATCCTGCCTGTAACCATGTCATTGCTGAGCAGTCTGCTAAGCTCCACCAACCTTGAGACTTACAATGAACTTAAGAGAATGGCTTGCCGTGTGGTTTGGTAACATCTGGACTGTACCTTTTTACTTGTCATACTTGGGAATTCTCAGCCTCAGCAGCCAACAACTGTCTGAGTGAAGAAATGCCTCTAACTCTGGTAGGCCTGGAGCAGGAGACAGCGTGGACTCCACGGTTGAGTGGCTTTCATCCAGCCCCTGGAGCCTGCACTTTGAAGTTGGACTTGAAGCCCACAAATTGTAAGAATAAACTCCTGTTTGTTAAGGTCATCCCATTTGTGGTTTATTTGTCAGAGTGGCACTAGGTAACCAGGGCAGTTGGATCCTGCATTTGGCAGAGTCATCAGGGAGTGGCCTGTCATGTTGTCTGCTGACACCGGGAGCATCTCTGGACTTAAATTCGTGACCTGCCATTTTGTTTGACAATTTTGAAACTGTACAACTTAATTTGTCGACTTTGGATTTGTCCTCCATGGCAGCCAGCAGCTAACAGAAGACAATAGGGTCAGTGAAGCAGAACAAAGAGGCAGAGCTGAAGCACAAGCTCAAGGGGCCTTTACCCAGTCCCGAGTACCTGGCACTTTGAAGTTGTACTTCTAGCCCCCAAAATGGAAGAGAATAAATCCCTGTTTGTTAAAACCACCCACATGTGCTATTTTCTGTTAGAGCAGCATCTGAGAACCAAAACAAATTGGGGTCCTAAGATAGGTGGAAACAGGTGTGGAATGTGTCTTTGACCAGGGATAGTGCCAGAGATTATGGCAGGGAGATGGTAAAAGCAGAGATGAGAGACTGGCATAAGACAGCAAGACAGCAACCAGCCCAAGGAGGAGAATCCTGGGTAGGCAGCTTCCTTGCAGAGTGGGTTGCCTTGGGGTATTGGTAGAAGAGATGGGCATAAGATGGAGTAGTAGGATGGCCAGCCCACACAGCAAGAAAGCTGAGATCATTTTTGACAAGAAGATTCCTCATGGAATGGTGCCTTCAGGTATTTATCGGCAGAAGCGGAGACCAAGGAAATAGTGCCAAGCAGAGGTACCTCAGGCTCAAAGGGTAGGACCATGGCCTCTGGCGGGATGGAACCACAACGTCTTAGGTTTTCGGAGAATCAGACAGTCACAACTTGGTTCTGGAGAGAGTGGCTGCTATTCATGAGGGTCAGGGGAATGGAGCTATATCCACTGCCCACAAGTGAGGGGCAGGTCTGCCATGCCAAGAGGCAGAGGCACAAGGCCTCGCAGCCCAAGCAGGTGAGGCTATGACTCAGATGAGCTACCGTGGGACTGGAGCCACACAGTGAAGATGTGTACAGATGCCACGTTGACAAG